AAGGAGACTCCATTTCTTCATCATGAGATGAGACATAAATGGTTTTACTGCAGCAGTCAATCTTCACACAGTACTTGGACAACCAATCCATCCCCAGAATTAAATTCACAGAAGCAAGGTGCAAGACAATAAAGTCGGCAGAATATTCCCTGCCTTCATACTTGAATTTCACATTTTCACAAACATAGTCTTCATTAAAAACTCTTCCCACAGCCGTAACAATACGCATAGGAGTTTTCATTTTTATCACATGCAGACCAAATGCTTCAGCTACATAATCAGCAATAAAAGAATGCGTGGCACCAGAATCAAACAAAACACTAAGCATTTCATCATGAATAGAAATCATACCTCGCACCAAACTAGCTGACCTCTCAGCCTCTTGCTGAGTCACTGCATATACTCGGGCAACTGGAGGTGGGAGAGGTAGAGATGGTTCCTCAACCACAATAGGAGCCGGAGTGGCCTGAATAGTAGAAACTTGTCCCCCATTAAAGGGGCAGTCCCTAATAAAATGCCCAGGTTGGCCACATTTGTAACACAATCTTTGCTCTTTTCTGCAAACCCCAGCATGAACTTTACCACATGTAGCACATAGAGAAGCAGGCTTAATATTTCCAGGCTTAGAATTTCCCGCCTTTTTGAACTTACCATCAGACTGTCTAACCTGCAACCCTTTTCCTTTAGAATTCCCAGAAGTGTTTTTAGGACCAGAATTAGGAGCAGATTGGTCCTTATGCTTCCTTCTGTAATATTCTTGAATATTTTTACACTTTTTAACAAGTGCAGCAAAAGTATCAAATGAGTCACCTGCAAGTTTTTCAGAGATGTTATCATGTAATCCTCTATGAAATTTAAAAATCAAGTCATCCTCTGTAGGTGGAGCTCTCTGGAAATGAGAGTATTTGGCCAGCTTATTGAACTTATTCAAGTATTCATCAATAGACATCTGACCCTGCTTTAGTTCTTCAAATTCACCCTTCTTCCTTATCCGGGCTTCAGCCGGAAAGTATTTCAGCAAGAATTGCCTTTCAAATAAAGGCCAGGTAATAGCATAACCCTGACATTCCAAGGGCAGACGGGTATTTCTCCACCAATCAGCTGCATCATTCTGCAACATATAAGAAGCATACAACAATTTCTGCTGATCATCACACTCCATGACAGTAAAAATGCGATCCAATTCTTCTAACCACTGAATTGCAGCAATAGGATCAATGCCTCCTTTATAATTTGGTGGTGCATGTTTTCGGAAGGCATTTAGCATTCTTTCTCTTTGCTCTCTATTAGTGGCTGGCTGTGCCACACCACCCCTGTGACTAGATTCTTCATTCACATCATTATTTCCTTCACCCTCCACAACAATGGGATTATGAGGAGGAGGAACAGGCTGTTGTGGTTGTGGCTCAGGCTGTGGCTGTTGCAAAGGCTGTGGCTGTGGACCTTGCCCACCCGCCCTCACCTCAACCAAGAGTAATCTCATCATTTCAATATTCGCCATTCTGCTTGCTGCCATCATTTCTTGATTGGCCAACCTATTAGCCTCTAACAGATCTTGATTTGCTTTCATCATCACTTCTAGCTCTCGCTGCCTAGCTGCAGCCATATTTTGTTGCATCTCAGTTAAGGCCATTATCATTGGATCTGGCTGTGAAGTATTTCCCCGCGGGTTAAGTCGGGGTCTTGCCAAATCTGCCAATATTGGATCGGTCGGGTCAATAGGAGGATCAGAAGTCCTTCTTGGGCGAACCATAATTCTGCATATTTCACACAAAGGAATGAGTTAGCTACGCTCACACTCGGTGATCAGACATGCATATCATAGTATTCCAAGAAAAACTCAAGAACATAACAACCCGAACAGTTCATGCAATATTTCACAGGCTCTCCTAGAGAAACTGCTCTGATACCATAAATGTAACATCCCCGTCTCGAGCCGGTTCAATTAACATACATATGATACAAACAGAAACAGCGGAAGACTTAACTTACAAAAATATGAGCTAACTTTTTCTTTTTCTAACTTAATTCTTACTCGGCGTAAACGAAAATCGGGCAGAGTTTCCTCTATAAATCGGACAACTGGGGATTTTCCAATCCCACTCAGAAGCATTTCCTGATAAACAGTTTATACAACATATCAATTCAGAAATACCAGATATCCAAATATAATCAAATACCCATACATGGGCGCATGCATAACATGGCTCCGTGCCACTAAATCTAACAGCATGCCATCAAAACATAAACCTATCTGAATACTACATCATCATATAACGTTCCTGAATACTCAAATGTACATGCATCAAACTGATAGACATGTACAAAACATATACAGGCCATATACAAAATAAAGGATCAATATCATGATCCATCAAATGCGAAAATACTAAAATACATCAAACACTCCAAAAAGGTAGTAGCCTACAGCCACTCAAAATCCGGTCTGTCAACTGCCTCAGCCACGTGTCGTGTCCCTGCCTAGTGAGGACTCACCGGAAATCTGGGCCCCTGAAAATGTGTCCCCAAAGAGGGGTGAGATTACAAATCTCAATAAGCTCCAGGTTTATAGAGAATTCTCCATACCCCTGGCTCACTCCTGCATGAAATTCAGATACAGAGTATACAAATACAACATATAACAGATATCATAACAGAACAGAGCATATATCCATATCATATCAGAGATGTGCGCCGTCATTCCCAAGGGAGGACCCCAAGCGGAAATCAACGCACGTGTTCCCGAGGGAGGACCCCAAAGCGGAACCAGACATATCAGAGGAGTACACCATCAGCCCGAGGGAGGACCCCAAAGCGGACGTCCGGGTACTATACAATCAATGGCCAGAGATTGTTACAGAAATCATATTACAGAAGTCATATCAGAGCAAAACATATCATGTTATCAAATAACTCTATATGAATGCATCTATACAAAGCATCTAAATCACAGTCATACAGTCCAACCATAGTTCACTAACCATGGTGGAGCACTCAAGCAGGAAAAGACTCCTTAAACATAGAGCTTACCTCTTGAAGCTTTACCAATACGCTTACTTGTGGAACAAGTTACTTTTATCGCTTCAAGAGATTTCCGATCCTTCTCAATCCCTAGGCACACCTAGAGAATAATTTACAATGCATCAATAAAATGATGCAATACCATAATTATTTCATAAGCATACATTTTATCGCTTATTTTCCTTTCTTTGCATTTTTGCCAATCCTATGCCAATACACAAGTCTAGACCTCTATACACCCGTTGGCGTTCTTTAATTTAATCAAGCATTTACTTAAGAATTTTTCACATAAATCATGTTATTTTTCTTTAAAAGTCGCGGGCGTACCCTTAGGGACTCAAGGTATTTTTCAACCATTTGTCAAAGCATTTCACTTCTTAGCTCATCCATTGGTATATTAAAATGCAACCCATTTTATTAGAATAAAATGTAACCAATATATATATACCCCTAAACATCCTATAGTTCGTAACATAGAGCAAGTATTTGTAGGATTTTTTCTAACTTTGGCATTTCCACCAATTAATCCATTTACACTACATTCCAACATATTTTACCTTTTCAAACATACAATAAAAATTTGCATGATGAACCCTATATAAGCCATGAAGGCCGAAACCTAGGGGAAAAGTGCACTAGGGCTTTTCAATTTTTTTATCACAAATTAATGCTTACTAAACACTATCATTCCTATACAACAACAATCCATCATAATTTTCACCTTCTAACATCAAATATTTCCCACTCAAAACATGCTCCAAATTTTCAAAACATAGATCACAAAATAATACCATAGAAATAGAGGTTTCTTACCTCTAATCACTTGTACAAAGCCTAGAGAATAACCTCCAAGCAAAGCTCCATCAAAAACCCACTTTTTCTCCTCCTATGAATAGTAATCCGAAAATAAGAGGAGGAATAACTCTTCACACACTCAACTATAGCTCAAATGGATAGGTGCAATGGATTCCTTGAGTGGTTCCTAATCAATTTCAAGTGGTGGGTCATAAGATTTGGTTGAGAATTCAAGAAGAAATCAACAAAACAAGCAAAACCCTAACCCCCCCTTTTCCATGGCTGAAGCTCGGCCCTTCAAGAGAGAGAAGAAGAAATTTTTGCAATGAATAGTGATTCATTTAAGTGGCCAAGCTATTTAGGCACATGTGGCCCTTTTGTCGGATGTTTTTCTATCGCGTATTTCACTTAAATTTACCGGAAACTTAACTTAAAGCTACGGATATATTTTTATTTTTCTAAAGTTATTTAAATTAATTTTTATTTCCTAAGGAACAATATTCATAATTCACAGTATGGTTTTTGCACCGTTTTTAACGAAATGCACTGTGAACCACTAACTGTACTTTATTTAATTCTGAAACTTAACACTTATAAACTTATCATTTTCTTGGGCCTATATTGACTTGCTTGGCATATATTGGACTTTCTTATTCTTATTTCATCAATTATTTATTTCTGGACTCTACCGGTTGCTTAAACAGCAGTACAAAATACCCGGTAGAAACACTATTCACGAGATTTTCACGGAAAGTGCCAGACTATACAATTTTTCGTTCTGAACTCATATTTGTCATCAGAATTTTCAAATTATGTTCCTAAAATTATTTTGCTCATTTTAAGCTCTACCGGTTAATTCACAAAACTGTAAATTCTCCGGCAGAACGCACTGTTCATAACATAGTCATGATTACAGTCAAAATACTCGAAATCGCTCACTGAATCTAATTATGGCATTTAAATCCTTAAATTAAATCTCTAACTAAGATTTATCAGTTAGGGTCATTATAGTATATATATATATTGTGTTATAATTTTTTGTATGGTTAGTGTTGTACGAGTAGCTTTGCTCAAAATATAAATCACACAAAATAATAAAAAGAAACAAATTAAAAATACTATTTAAACAAAAAAAAGAAACAAGAATATCAGTACCATTCTTGGACTAATAGAATCGAGTTACAAGAGCAATCCTGAGAACTTTATTGAAGCGAAAGCAAAAATTACATATATTCCAATATAATACACAAGATGGGTACACAGTTGGATTATGCTAACGCAATTGATGTCCGAGATACAGTAGTGGCTATATATATAAAGACTATAGAAATGGAAAGGTAAACTTTTTAAGCATGATTCGTTTAATAGAATGTGGTGGAAGATCTTATCATCTTATGGAGTTGGAATTGGCTTGTGAATTGGCAATGGTGGTAAAAGTGGTTTCTTGAATTTGGGGTGAAGGGGTAGTTTAGGAAAAGGCTTTTTGAAGAAAGGCTTTGGCTTTAAAAATGACTCTGGCTCAACGTTAGGAATAGGTTTTTTCACTACAAATGGTTTTGGAATAGGCTTAACAATGGGAAATGGCTTTGGAATAGGCTTATACACTGGAATAGGAATAGGCTTAACAACAGGAATTGGCTTTGGTATAGGCTTATACACTGGAACAGGGATAGGCTTATACACAGGAATTGGCTTTTTGAAGAAAGGCTTTGGCTTTAAAAATGACTCTGGCTCAATGTCAGGAATAGGTTTTTTCACTACAAATGGTTTTGGAATAGGCTTAACAACGGGAAATGGCTTTGGAATAGACTTGTACACTGGAATAGGAATAGGCTTAACAACAGGAATTGGCTTTGGTATAGGCTTATACACTGGAATAGGGATAGGCTTAAATACAGGAATTGGCTTAACAATGGGAATTGGTTTCGGGATAGGCTTATATACTGGAATAGGGATAGGCTTAACAACGGGAATTGGTTTTGGTATAGGCTTAACAATTGGAATTGGTTTTGGGAAAAAAAATCCCTTGAATTTTTCTTCTTCATTATGTCCTCCTAGGCTTGTTTTTTTCAGTTCCTCAGTGTTCACTTCATTCCCTGTGTAAGAAATGCAAAAGTACATTAGTTAAATACATAATATATAGTTCTATGATAGTAAATTTGAATTCTTTCATATAGATAGATATAGAGTGAATATATAAATACAAAAAAAAAAAAAATGTGCCAATCGAAATAGCAATATAATTACACCACTTGTGTTGACCATACTACTAGAAGTCAAGTAGCAGAATAGACCACAATTTAATTACATGCATGTTGATGCTAAAATAAATGATTGATTCGAGTTAGTTTGGATGACAATAATAACAGTCAAAGTCTAACTATCAAGTAACCATAATTTTCACTGACTGAATTTAGTGTATGAAGTGTTGTGGCTAGGTGTAAGTTCTCTACTTCCTCAAAACTTAGTCTTAAGAAATATACACAATTCATTAATAGTTTTTTGTTCTTCATTCATCATTCAGTGTCAGCATGAGCCACAAACCTGAAACTTCAGTTGTTGCTATAGCAGAAGGAGCATAACAGAAGCTGGCAATAAGCAACAAGGGAACAAAGAAGCGCACAAGTGCGCATTTCAGAGTGGAAGACTTTCCCATTGAGAAAAAAACCAGGCCAAACCAGCTTGGTTTGGCAATGAAGCTAAATGTTTGAAGGGTTGAGCTACTCTTGTCCCATACTTGCATTATTTATAATAGCTTTCTTGGGATTAACTGTGCATTAAGTGCTCTATCTGCTATTACTCTTTGTGAATATAGTCCTAGATTTTAAATTTAGTTAGGGACCATTAAGGGTAGTTGGGAGTGTTTATAACATGAATGGCGTTTAGAACCGTTTTTGTCGTTGAGATGGGTTCTCCCTCCATTAAATGAGCCTCACAAGTTAGGTGTTATTTTTCCTTTTGAGTGGTATATTGGAGAATATTGCCTCCAACTTAGGAAGGTTCAAAAGTAGCGTTGCAAGACAAAGTTTATTTCATTAATTTTGACCATAAGTATCATAGACATTCTGAAATGAAAGGTGAACTGCATCAATGTATCTTTTCTTGGTAATGAAATTGACACCAGCACAAGGACGTGAACTCATAATATTAACATCCTGAATATGAGAATGAATTCTCTTATATTAAAATATCACATGAGAGAGTTAGGTGAAATTTTTGTATTTATTTTTTTCTTTATTAATGTTAATAAATTATAATTCAACCTTATTTATTTAATAAATGAGATTAAAGGAACGCATTTTTAGTACCACAGTGGTACTGAACTGGGTGTGTTTTTTGTAATTTACACTATGTACTTCCGGAAGTATATAGTGTAAATTACAAAAAGTGTTTTTTTCTTCTCATTTCAGTACAAAAAAAAAAAGTTGAGATAGCATCTTTCCATTAGCCGGTCGCACCCACCGCGGTGGTATTGTGGATTTTTCCATGATTAAAGATATATATACAATCATGTGAATTTTTAAAGTGAGGGAATCCATGACCTAGCACGTACAGTATATATGTAGGGAGGCCCACTCATCACTCTGACATAACACTTCTTGCAGTAACAAAACCTCTATAGATGCAAGTTATCCATTCACTAATAATGGTGCTCTACACATAGAAAAATTGCTATTTATTTAGTACATTAGAGTGGAGAGAGTGTGTTCTATACAAAACCTATATTCTGATTTCAACCAGTACATGAAAAAGTAGTTAGAGCAAAGGGCAACAAATTCATAACCAAATAAGTCAAAGAGAAAGAAAAGAAGGTATGTTTGGTTGTGGAATTAAAAGTACGTACCTAAAAACTAGGAGATTTTGCAACAAGTTGAGAATCATGTGCCATAGCGAGAATGCCAGCCTGTGAGAGCTGTGAAGAAAGCGACATATCATCTGTTTTAGTAGTCCAAAAGACAAAGGGTTGCGTGTGTACTTCAGGGTATGCAAGAGGATAGTTTTGGAAACTTCTTTCACATTTACCTGTCAAATAGGTACTTCTTTTGCTACTATATGAACATTTGTGCCTCACTAAATAAACTCACAAACTGTTTTTGTTCAGTGTTTGTGAGACTTGAATGAGTTGAATAGGAGTTTTTATGATGTGAAAGACTTGAGAGAAATCGTCTCTAAGCCTCATGAATTTGCAGTATACACAATTAAATCCTCTAGTTTTAGGGATTGTCTAACATATATTCTATTTGCTATTCTATTTATAGAATGTATCAGCTATTTACTAGGAATATATCAATATTGAGAAACTTTCATGTTCGTACCTTTCTTAGAGGCTAAGAAACAGAGGTTACGGTGTTCTCCTCAGGTGAGAAATACATGAGAGGGCAGTAACCCTGCCTCACAGCCAATGGCAGTGTCAGAATATTTTGTAAGGGAAAAGAAATTGAAGGGGTATTTTTCTTGATGTAGTCATATTACTATTTGTTTATATTACCAATCCACTACTATTTTAATTACTCTTGGATCAAATTTTTCAACAAATTGTAGGCTGAAGAGAGAAAGAAAGAAGTTACTGAAAATTTTGATCCAACCGTCATTAAGGTGCTAATAGATTGATAATCGAAAAAAATGATAGTATAAATATTTTATCTCATTTGTTTTAGTTATAACTATCTATATAACAAGAAATTAAAATAAAATAAAGATGATATTGACAATTAAAGGATTGTATAACAAAAAAAAAAAAAATATTTATTAATAAATTAAAGCTTGTACCAGATTGGGAGGCCATCATTCACCCTAGGTCCCTTGCTCCACCAATCACCATTGCTCGCAGCTATCAAATGGAAAGTAGTTAATGCACATTCTATTTCATAAAGAAACATAATCCTTTGAGTTTGAACGGTGAATATTAAATAGACTCATATTTTGGTTTTGCATTATACTGACTTAATATCACTAGAAAGTGGGGAGCTCAAATCCATGACCCTGTGGTTAGGACTTAGGAGACTCTAATACCATATAAAGCAACATAACTTACCTAAAAGATCAAGCTTTTATTTAAAGAACTATCAATGATTTCCTAAGACGAACGCAAATCGTTGTTAAACAACTCTCTTTTTTCAAGGATTCTAATATCAATAGGTGTTCGGTGAAAAGCTGGAACCTCTTCCTTATTTTACTTCCAAGTTATTTAAAAACCATTTATGCACTTATTGATTTTTCTGCAATTCTGTTTTAAAGTTTGGTTAATCTTTTCCTTCAAGGAATTTTTGCCCCCACTATCGTTTAGTGGATACATTTTCGGCAACTTTTCTTCAAGGAATTTATGTTAAAATTTTTAACATAAGTCTATTTCTGTTAAATTCAATTTCTCCAAATTCCTTTCTTCATCTGCTTTTAAATACTTTGTTCTTGTTCTGTTCTACAAATTGTGTTTGTGTTTTATTTATTTTTGTAGTCTGTTAGATTTTAATTGTTTAGTTAGTTTTAGGTTTAGTTGTGCATGAATAAATCTCTTCATCTTTTCTTTGAAGCTTTTGACCCTGAAACAGAAAACATATTTAGGAATCGATAAAAAATCCGAAGGTAAAATATAGGAGTAGTTGAGCCTGAAACAAATATGGAACAACCTCAACCAATTGTGGACCATGTGCACATTGTACATCAGCCCATCGATGATAGAGATAGGCCAATGATGGACTTGATAATTCTAGTCTTGAATGACTTAGATCCAAGCATCATCCAACCTGAGTTGGAAGTTAGAGCCTATTATGTTCCAAATGCTCCAAACCATAGGGCAATATCATGGTTTACCATCACAAGACCCACATCAACACTCCCAAATTTCATGGAGGTAGCCATTACTTATGGGAGACCAACCATCCCAAATGATGTCCTTACGCTGAAGCTTTTTCCGTATTCCCTTTTTTTTTTGGCAGATATATTCCCTATTTGATAAAGCCAAGTAATGGCTGAACTCTCAACCTCTCATTTCCGTGGCCTCTTGGACAGAACTTGCTAACAAATTTTTCACGAAATTTTTCCCTCCTAACAAGGTTGTTTGACTAAGAGGAGACTAAACCACTTTTGGGAAAATAGAAGGTGAAGCTCTTATTGAGGCCAAGATAGGTATAAGTAGGGATGTTCATCAACCGATCCAAACCAATTCAAACCGCGAAAACCGATAACCGAAAAACCGATAACCGAAAAAATCAAAAACCGAAAAATAACCGCAAATTTTAATTGGATTGGATCAGTTTTTGGATGGATTGATGAAAACCGATCAAATCCAATATATTAATTTTTTATACCCAAGACCCATTAACCCATCAATTAGACCCAAGAAAAAATCTAATCACATCTCATCAACAAAATTTTATCTTTGTAGAGCTTCATATCTCATTGCTAAAAAAAAAAAACTAAATTATAGTTTACTAATACTTTTGTATTTAAAAAAAAATTACAAAGTCAATATATACAAAAGATGTTATTTGCACAATAATCATGAAATAAATTTTAAAATTTTCAAAAAACCGAAAACCGATCCAATCCAAACCGAAAAAAATAGGATTGGATCGGATCAGATTTAAAAAAAAATTCAAACCGAATGGATGATTATATGATCAAACCTAAGGGATCAGATCAGATGAATTTTGCTTCCAAAACCGATCCAATCCAGACCGCGAACACCCCTAGATATAAGGACCTGATCAAGAAGTGTACAAACCATGGCTTAACTCCTTGAGTGTTGTTACAAACCCTTTAAAATGGTTTTATCCATTCTAACCAAATCATTTAGATGCCTCATGTAATGGCATATTCATGGCCAAAACCTTCAATGAAGCCCATGAACTCTTAGAGAAAATGACCCAATGAAAATCTACCCAAAGGAAAGTTGTTGAAATGCATAGCATCATTGACATAAGACTCTATTACAGCCCTCATCACCAAGCTAGATGCGTTGTCCACCTTGGTCATCACCTAGAACCAATTTATAGAATCTAAATTAGCCCAACCCCAATTTATACAACAAAGTCCCCAAGCCTCTTGTGTTTATTGTAATCGACCACACTTCTTTGAAAGTTTACCTTCGAAACCAAATTTAGTTTACTATGTAGGCAACTAGATTAGGCACCAAAATGATTTTTCCAACAATTTTAATCAAGGTTGGAGGAAACATACTGGGTTCTAATATACTCATGGTCAGAGGCAGCCAGTTGGCCCTTCTAATACTAAATTGACACTACCTTTCCCAAATCAAAATAACCAGCAACAACCTTTTAGAACACTTGTAGAATAGTCATCTACTCTTGAAACTTTGCTCAAGGAGAATTTGACTAAAAATGATCCTATCATGCAAAGCATCCCTGCCTCATTTTGTGACTCAATTGAGATAGTTAGCTCTTGCCATAAATAATAGACCTCTGGAAACACTGTTGAACAATCCTGAAGAGCATAGGCTAGATAGTAATGAGCAATGTAAAATGATAGAACTTAGAAATGGTAGGTTGGCTAACCAACCCGAAGCTATTGTCAGACCTTGCAAATTGAAAAGGCCGATATGTTGGATAAAGAAGAAGCAGAAAGAGTTGGAAGTTACACAAGAAGCATAAAAAAAGGATGTTCATCATGAGGAAGAGCCCGAACCTATTTTAGCCACACCTATAAATGCTACTCCAGAAGTTCAAAGACTTCAGAAGCA